ACTTTATTCTGAATCACATGTCACTGCACTCCCTTCCTTGAGGAAAATCGCCCAGCAATTACGGCCCCCTTTTACCCCCAAGAAGTTGGTCTTTCCCTCACTGACCAGACCCACAGAACGGCCTCCACTCACAGGCCAATAAACCAGGCAATTTCTTCTGCGTGGCAGCACTGGGACATTCCCTCAAAAGTGGGAAATGTTTTTTGAAAGAGCATTGGAAGACCTGCCAGCACCCACCTCTACACCCTCCCTACTGTATTCAAGAGGTGTTATGAGCCGGTGGTATTTATTGTTGGCTATAAATGCCTTGTCCCAACCACAGAGGATAATCATCCAACAATCTTGGAAGCTAAGTGATTGTTGGTGAGTGTTCAAACTCTGATTCAGACTTTGGAAGTTGCGTATATGTATAAATAACACATGTACTGTTTGAGAAACCTGTTTTAGTGCCCCGCTACCAGTGTGCAATGTTAACAAAAGGATATGCACCAAGGAATCGTCATACATGCACGTGTACCACTGGTATTTATTGTTGGCTTTGTTCTAGCACAAAGGACACAAAAATAGCCACTCCAGCTAAGTTGAAGGCTGTAACCTGGTCAAGAGGTGTTAGTTCAAATGACAACAATTTCCCAGAAAGTTACCATGTGGATGTGGAGTGTGTCACCTCAAGCACAGAAGTTAAAGTTGACAGTACCAAAGATAAATCAACCCACACACATACAACTTACAGTATTTTGAAAGAAGTGATATCATGAGAGATTAGTGGCAAGATGTGGTCAACACTCTTTGCTTATTGTTCACATATATGTAGCTCCGGGACCCATAAACACAAATCCTTATTTTTTTAAATTTAATTTATTCAACCATTTTCTTCCCTACTGGGCAGAAAATTAACACAAACATGATTTTGTGACATCACATCACAACTGTTTACGCCGTGAATTTGCATGAAGTTGAACACATTTCAACTCAAGCAACTTTCTCTGGGAACATTTTGCTTCACTTTCACACTTGAAGTATGAATTGGCCTCCACAAGGAAACACTCACAAAAGAAATACCACAATCCACCCATGCAACCTGCCATCTGCTTTGGTTTCTCAAATTCTCAGGAAACAAGTGAAAAAAAGGACATATGATCGTGCAGCCTGGCTCTTTGGCACAATAGGTTTTCACATTTTCGCAAAATTTCTTTGAAATAGCATGCAGTGTTGCATTTTCACCAGAAACGGGATTTTGGTTTCAACCTCATACATGTACACGTAGCAAATGTAATGAGGGAACTTCCTCTGTTCTTTGAAACAGTCAGACCCGTAATGTACCAGTTGACTTTTTTTCCTGTAAATTATACTCACTTTTGTTACCTCTGATATTTCCTCATACTATGCAAGTGTTCCATTTCAAAATATGTTGATGCTTTGGATGTTTAGAAGAGTTAATATTGTGATCTGATTTCTCATACGTATTCCAAAATTTTCAAGTATGTACAGCCATTGAAGTTTTTCAACTTCGTGCAAACTGAAAGTTATCTGCATTCCAGTCGATGAAATATGAAAATGTACTGCTTTGTTCATTTTTGCTTTGGACAAGCAGAAATGTGGAACAAGATGACAAGGAGATTTGCGGGAACTTTCTTTTTGATGTTCTTGTAAAGTCTTGTTTGTTAATGTTTTGGTGGATGATGTTAAGAGAACACGCTTCAAGCCATACTTGGACTGAACTGTACACAGTGTGACCTGTTGGTCTCCCCGTCTCGTACAAAAAAGGCTACCACTCTCCTTTCTCCGTCATGGCCCAGCAGGTCGCCAAATCAAGCTGTCTGCCCTCCCCTCTGATCTCCAACCCCTCTAGGCCAGGGAGTCAGGCCTCTCACCACAGGTAGAGCCTGAAACACGAGCCCTTGACAAAATACCCAGCATTCCACCTGCGTTCCTGTGCCAGTGTGTGTCCACCTTTTCCTCCTGTGCATGTACAAGTGCATGTACTCCTGCTGCATCTTGAAGTGTTTTGAGCTGTACATGACACGTAGTCACTTGCGTCATAGGTCTTTTATGTATTTATTTCACGGCTGTCCAAATTTCATTTTGCCTAATGAAAATGCTGAGTTTCATTCCACTCAGCAGCAAGTAGATGAAAACACTCCCTTGGCAGGGTAGATGTATCTTGTATCTCTCTGGTTCTGGGTTCTCCAGGGAAAGACATTATGATCCAAACGAGATAGGCGCCTGTACTTTATAATCTTTCAGAAATAATGGGTCAATAAATTACTTGGAGTCTATTGAAGCAGGGGAGATGTTTGTATGTTCTGTTTACAGTCAGTATACAGTACAATTTGCATGTAATAATTAAATGTTTTACTTGGAATTGTAACCAGAATGGATTGTTCCTGGGGCACTTATGTAATATTGGCATACAATATTGGTACATCAAGGCGTAGGTACCACATGTACATGTTTAGGACCATATGTACATGTTTAGGACCACATGTTTATGTGTAAATGTGCTTTGATACATGTACATGTATGTGGTTACCTACATATTTGTTGTCGTAGTAACTGCAAAGTGCAATCACAGTTGATCTGAAAACTATCTGAGGGGAGGAAATCCGGCTCTGGAAAAAGCTACAGGCTTTCAAGGATTATGAGTGTGCGTGTATCATGTGCAATGTAACAGTTTTGCAAAGATGTTCATTCAATCGTTGTCATTTCATTGTCATGAACTCTTGATACAAAAAGATAATTCTTATCATTTGAGATTCTACATGTAAAGGCATTTAAATCCAAACTTTGAGAGATCTAACTTTGAGAGGCCTATAAAAAAACACCTTTATAATGTCTAAGAAAACTACAATTTGGCCTTGTAACTAGTTTTCAAGAACCTTTAATCTGACTGTGTTTTTTTCTTGGAACATCTTGGATGTAACACAGCCCCCCCATTGTTTAAGCTGTCAACTTTTTTTGTGTAAAAGCATGCGCTACTTTATGCAGAACACACTGTTAACTTGTACAGCTTAGGCCTTATCAAGTTCATGTGTACCAGTAGTACAGGTCCAACCCTTGATGGTTTCCAGAAGGTGAGATCCAGGGTTGTGTGATTGATGATGATGTTCCAGTGAGCATGACTGTTCACCCAGTGGTGTGATTGTTGGCCACACTCACCCCTACTACTGTACATCTGGGACTGAATTTGGAATTGTGAAAAGGTGTGGGATTGAACTCATCAGATCACTTTGATACATGGACGGGAATAATGATTGTGCACACCTCGCACCTTTCACTTGGCCTGGTTGAACCCTAGTCACGGTTGTTTTTTTTGAGTTCGCACCATTTGCAGACCGTCACCAACCAGACTTGCAGCTGCTGCGTCACAGCATGTATTCTTGCAAATTCTGTTCCTTACTGTTTGTGTTGACATTTTTTTCCGAATTCATTTATTGGTGTTTCAGCCATTGAGGTAAATATTCTTTGCTGTCACATTAATGTATTTTTCTGTGTTAAAATGGAATATCAGTAAGACAGATATTCTTGAGGGGATTTTTCGTTTGGATGGACAGGAATGAGAGGGGATTCATGTAGGTTTGGGAGTACTACAATTGTTCTAACATTTTATGTGGTTAAAAAGAATGCAGTTTTATCCATCAAGGATTTTTAGAACTTAGTGCTTTAATAGTACTCAATGCACAACTTAATCTTTCACTAACACCACCATGCTTCCTGTGCTAAATGTTCTTGGAGGTGGGTGTCCCTCATAACAGGAGATTGATCTTCCTTCATTGCGAAATGCTTGGTTTCGATAAGAAGCAAAAGAAAATTGTGCAGATAGGCTTGGTTGCCCAGGCCCAGATCAAAGGAAGTTTTGGAAGGAAAATGGAAGAGGTCATACGTGGGCAAGTTATCATTCTGTCTTTTGTAACAATAGGAGCATATATATTTTCGTTTGTTGCACAAGTAGTATTTGATTTCTATTGATGCAAGGCTGGGCGATGTTGGTCTTGTGTAAATACTTTACAACTAACTTTCATGAAGCTAATGAAACTATGTCAGTGTCACTGAATGTGGATCATCTTTAGAAAAAGCATGATTGATACCCTGGTGGCCACAGACAGAAATCTTTCTTCTTTTGGGGGCAAAGAAATTGTTATGCCTGGCAAATGGTGTTTAAAAGGCAAATTCTACAGCCTGAAATATATTTATGTGAGTGTTTGCTACATTTAGAGAAAATTGAAAAGTTTGATTTGAATGAGTATCCCTCAACCAGTAATTCAAATGAGAGAAAATAGGGTCATTCTATCAATATGGGGTCCAAAAGTGTGATATACTTGTGTCCCTGTTACACGTGACCTGTGTAATTTCACACGGCAATATCTCTGAAATTGATTTCAATCTATTTCTGTTTGTTTGGTTGGTAATATGCATTAATTCATCGCTCTTGGAAATGACAGAATGTATTCTGAACTTACTAAATCATACATGTATGTCAAAGGTGACAGGGACATAAAAAAATTGGACCCCCTAAGTTATAGAATGGCCCAATGTCTAGTAATAGCTGAGACTCTCAAAGATATTTTCTCAGTTTAAAAATGAGTAAACATACCACATAATGAAGGGTATGCCCTTGGGGACTGATGTTGCTTGGTGCTTTGTCATGGCTATTTAATTGCTCTGGGCTGTGAATTATTTGGAAGATTCATAAGACAGCACACTTCTTGCTCTTCCGTGATTATCGTTACAGGGAATTGAATTTGAAAGTGGAGAGTACGGTCACAGAGTTATTTCTTCAAGGTTCTGTTGTTTCAATGAAGGGATGCACATGGTCAAATTTGCAAAATAATGGTTTAAAAATGACTCAACCTTTTCATAACATGACCTTACTTGCAGGCAGTTATTTTCTCAATAAATCAAGCTCTGCTTTTGTGTATCACCTTAGCAGAGATGATTAAAAACAGTAGATTTCAAGAATATGTTTTATGAGAATACATGCTTTGTTTTTGTTTGTCCAGGGTTAACAACAGACGTGTGGCCTTGTCTAGCAAGCTGTAGGAGTAGGAAGTCTGTTAACTATCTACGAGGTTACTCATCTGTATATAAGGTGAGCAAACAGATAATTATAGACAGTAGGTACTAATCTCATGTATTACATGTACATGTATGTGTATTTAATCAATACTTACGGTTCGGGAGGTTTGAATGAATCTTCTCCTCTTTTTTCCTGAGAGTTTTTTAACCAGCTTGTACGGAATTCGCAATTTAGTTACTGGTGGCAGAATTGGGGGCCAGGGGCCGCTGATCCCCTCCTCCTCTTGTTCAACTGGGGGAATGCCTTCTCCCTACTCCTGGCAGGTCCTTTAATGGGGCGGGACTTATTGGATTGGTTTATAATGGCTGATGCCGATTCTCTCACAACTTCCCCCCACCCCCACTCTGAAAATTCTTCCTCCATCATTGACTTAGTTCTGAAGAAGATGCATCTGAACAGCTTCCCATCTATAGTTGAAGTGTAAATATGCACTGTCAACACTATTTATGGTGGATTTCCGGTTGAAACCCCCTTCCCAATCTGTCCCCCCTCCCACCAGTTTTACTTCTGTTAGCATGCATGTGTATGTTTATGCATTAGTTGCAGAGGTTTTTATTCGTAAATCATAGTTTTTACATGACATTCTTTTTAACCTTTACTGTATCCGTCCGCACATCATGTGTTTGAAGTGACTGCTACTCTTTCCAGGAAAAGGACATCGGTGCATTGGTTTTATTTTATGTACAGGTACGTGTAGGCCTACAACAAAAACTAACTTTGTGTGACTACAGTAAGGAAATGTCAACGCTCTGTTGGCATTCCCTAATTTTCCATACATGTATCTATAAAAATTTGGGAGAAATGTGTTACACTCTTATTTCAATTTCAATCAGAGTTGGCAGGTGCCAACTAGTGAAACATTTCAAGTGCTTTCTCCCATATCAAGTCAAACGTCATTTCTTTTCAAAGCCAAGTCTCATCTCGAGTCAAAAACTAGTGTGGTTAACAGTCTAGGAAATGTTTAGAAGTTGATTTTACGGTATTTCTCAGGGACAGACTTTCACGCCTTCAGTAAGTAAGTACTTTTGGGTGCTGTTGCCAGTTCTCCTGGTGCAGGGTTCATATTTGAACGGAGACTTCAAATATGCCATACATGCCCATATACGCATGCAAGTACATGTATGCTATGATAACCTGTTTGTAGTACAGTATCCTCTTTCGTTTTCGGATCTGGCATGTCTAGATTTTTGTCTTATCTCATACAGCATCAGATATGGGCTCATTTGGCCAACCTACATAAAACTTTTCTCAACCCAGAACTTGACCTGACGGTGTTGGCATTTTTTTCCACCTGCGGAATCCTTGGTTGGGTTCAGGGTGCATTTATTGTCAGCAGGTCACTGTCAGTCCCAGTATCAGTGTCATTATCCTTGAGGCAGTGCCACCAGGAAGGAAGGGCAGCCCTGTCCAGGGACATGTGGTTTTTACTCAGGATAGATCAACTTATTCACTGCTTGTACATAATATTTTAGCACGTATCATTGGTTTACCACTCAGTATTTTTTCGCAACAAACCAGATGCATTATTATTCTCTGCCGCAAAAGTCAACATTTTAAAACAACAAGGAACCAAGGTTATTTCTCAAAACTATACTTAAGTGGGACACCATCAATGCTGGCTCCTGAGGGCCATTTGTATGAGATTTGTGTTACACTTGTGCGACAAGTGCTTTGGAGAAACAAAGAGCATGCATTTTTAAGACATCCCTGAATTTTTTTGTTGGAATGGTTTAAGACTAAAACAGCAACGTGTTTGTCTTTCACTTGCTGCATTGTTCACTGGCTGTTGTTTGATATTCGTATTTTGATCATGCAGACAACTTGCACTTTGGTCCAGCCAATCTGATCATGAACACTTTCGGTGACTGGCATTGTGTTTGCTGGGTGTACCAAAACAGATCAAATTTGTCTGATTTTAGTCACTGATACCTCAATGGACAAGTCTGAAGGAAATGCTCAATGAGTTCACTTAGTCAGTCACTTTTGCAGGGAAAGTCCATCATCTAAAGGCAGAAACCATGTATGTGAAATTATGAATGAATTTTGAATGAAAACAGTGTATTAACTTGTACTTGTATGTGTAGTCGTCTCTTAATAATCAAGGAGTTTTACCCATAATGCAGTTGTTTTTTATCTAAGTGTAATTGTTATTGCCCTACATGTGTGTGCATAGGAGAAGGATGTTGAAGGTATTGAAGCTGTGTGGCAAACTTGTGTGGGTGATTTTGAAGGTTGTATTATGTCAAGGTCTTGGGACAAACCTTGTGTTGTTTATTCTCAGCCATGCGTAAATTTAGGCTCCATTCATACTGCTCCTGGAAGTCATTCACACTGCCTCAACATACTGATGGGAATTACCAGACAAGTTTGAAGGATTGAAGTAGTCACCCTGTCAGGGAATGCATGCAAGAAATAATGGAGGATTTTGGAGGACTGAGGTTGTGTCTAGATTTAACATGGATGGAGCTGGAGGATTTTGAAGCACTGAGGTTTCATCCAAGCAAAAATGTCAAGGGAGTTAGGCATTGGGCTAATGTTTAGTGTCATCCATATTTCAAATCAAAAGGTAAGTTAGTGCTCATTGCAAAACCACAGATGGTTAAACCGCAGGGTTCAACTGGCACTGTCTTTTGAAAAGTGCAACAGTGTAATGTATACATGATTGATCAGATCAGATGAAAAGTGCAGATGTGATTTCGTTTCTCTATTGCAATATTGTGATAACACATTGGTACGGACTTGAGGTCAAGAAATATTTGCAATACTTCTGGTAGATTTGTTTTGCCAACTAAAGTAATGGAGAACAGACCCAAATGCTGGAAGTTGGAAGGACCTCATAAGCCTTTTCCCACTAGAATACTCATCTCCGGGATGAACTCGCGGACAGCGGAAGCACGCGGAGATTTTCCCATTATGCCGTAGCAAAAAAAGCATAGCACCTGCCAACAGAATGGACGTGACCGATGATACTTGTAAAACAATTCATTTATTTCTTCTCCATTTGTTCATGATAAGAAGACGTAGCAGCAGAGACAATGAGAAGAGGCGAGTGATTCTTCTTAGTCAAAACTGTCAACAAACTGCCCCAATGTTGGTGAATTGAACCGTCAGCGGCAACCTTTCCTAGCACTCTTGTTGGTGACCTTTGTGCTGTTGTTTGCCCCGGGGATGAAGTGGCCGCCTCCCCCACCCATTTCACACTCCCCTTCTCACCTCGGGGATAAAAACTTCAACCCTGGTCCTGAGCAGGGTTGAATGGGCCCTGGGGAAAGAGCATTGGGGGGGGGCTTTGGGGTGGGGTTGGGAATTTCAAATGGGAAACATGGCTTATTTTCACCCTGCTTCACCCTGGGGCCAACCCCCCCCCCCCCCC